GATTACTGGAAAGAAGAGCGTGGTTGCATTCAACTCCATCCATGGTCATATGATCAGAGGCCAGGAATAACAAATCCTGCCCTGTCATCACATCTATTCCCTAAAGAAGGATTCCAGGAAGATACATGCAAGGTGCAATAGCAGAATGAGAATAAAAAATCATTTTATTAAAAAAAAAGTAGGTGTTTCTCCATGTCTGTCTTCTTCTGCCTTGACTAAGCTGGCAGCATGGCAACATGGAGAGTCTGGATACCTGAGTCACTGGATGGAGGAGAACCCGCTGACTGCTGGAAATGTTGAGTGAATAATACATAGCTTTTATCCAGACAAGACACTGAGGTTTTGAGTTTGTTGCCACAGCCTGTCATGACAGATTTAGTTCCTCATGTACTTCATATTGATTTTCATTACTGCTGTGAACCCTGAATATCCGAGACAGGTCTCAGTTAATTTAGAGTTTATTTTGCCAAGGTTGAGGATATGCACCTATGACATGGCCTCAGGAAGTCCTGATGACATGTGCACAAGGTGGTCGGGACAGTTGATTTTATACATTTTAGGGAGACACAAGACATCAATCCATATATATAAGATGCACATTGGTTTCACCCAGTAAGGTGGGACAACTCAAAGCACAGGGGGAGGGGGAGTGTGTGGCTTGAGGTCACAGGTAGGTGAGAGACAAATGGTTGCATTCGTCTGAGTTTCTGATTAGCCTCTCCAAAGAAGGCAACTAGATATGCATTTATCTCAGTGAGCAGAGCAATGACTTTGAATAGAATGGAAAGCAGATTTGCCCTAAGCAGTTCCCAGATTGACTTTTCCTTTCAGCTTAGTGATTTTGGGAGCCCCAAGAATTAATTTCCTTCATGTTTCCCTCCTTTTCTTTTTAAAATCTCTGGAGAAAGCATTTTAGAAGAAAATGAGTCTCTGATCTCAGATTTTGTCTGATCTCTCATGGCTAGGATGGTTTCTTCCTAGACGGGTAGGTCCTGACTTATTAGGAAAGTTCATTTTTAGCAGGTTGTGAAGTCTTATGTCCTATCAAGAGAAAACAGGGGGAAGAAGGGAGAAAAACAGCAACAAACAAAAGAACTATCCTGGAAAATCGATATAGTCCACATTACTCTGAAGTCCACACATTAGTAGACAGGTGTGAAAGTGGCTTATGTATGTAAAGAGGTTTCTGTTCTTTTTTTCTGAAGTTTAAGTTGCAGGGCTTTAAAAAAGCACAGCTTAGTTTTCAGTGATTTAAAATTGTGAAAAAATGAGAGAAACATGAAAAGAAAGAAAAAAGTCAGAAACATTATTTTAGAGACTTGTAGCCAGGAAAAATTATAATTCAGTCCAAACTGTAGAAAATAATAAAAAATTAAAAAACAGGCAAGACTAGAATCTAACAAGTGTAATATAGTTTTTGAAACATAATTTTTCACTCTCCAGCTTCTCATTTTTACTAAAGATGGTGGGACCAACTTGCTTTGTTATACTTGACCAGATTACTTGAATAAATGCAGCAATAGTAATTATTTTTCACATAGGCTTTTAAATTGGCTTTGATGGAATTTTGCTCCATAGAAGAAATCTCAGTTAAGACTTTTTAAAAGCGGAGCCCAGCCATGGGTTTGTACTGTTGAATACCTATGAGTTGGGCAAATTCCTCTCCTTTTGAGGTAGCAAGATAACTTGGACCTCCTTGATTTGTCAGTTACTTTCTTTATTAACCACAGGTCAAGAAACCTGTACAGGGACTGTGTAGACAAAATATGAGTCCAGTTTTCCCAAGGGGCTTTTATTGGCTCTATGAGTCAAGTTTGATTCCTTAAAGGAAAGCACACCATTCCAGTCAAAGTCTTGTTAAATAACCAGTTTCTCCAATTGTGTTCTGTTACAAAATGAAAACAGATTCTTATTGCATTTATACAAATAACTACATTGCAATAAGTTAAGAATCCTCACAAACAGTTTCCAAATTCTGGAGAAATCAGGTAGAGAGAAACAAATGTGCTCTAAATTATGTTCATAGGAGTGTACTTTACTTAATTGCGAAAAGCTGTCAGTAGCTCAAAAGTTTTCTTAACTCTGAAAAACAAAACAAAAAATCAGCATGTTTTAAGCAAAAAGTAAAAAAGCTTACTTCAGTCTTCTGTTAGTTCAGTCTGTGCTGTTAATTCCTGTTGTGCTTGATATTAATGAACATTTTAGCTTTCCATGAGTCCTGAAACTTTTTCTCTATTCTGATGTCACAGTCTCCAGTGTTATCAGAAATGTGCCTTTAAGAGCACCTATTGGAGTTTTATAGCTGATTATAAAACCACCTTTTAAAGAGGACCAAAACAAGACAACAGTTGTCCATGGATGACCCAAAGTTCTAGGGCAGCCATAGTCAAAGACACAATTGACACAATGAAATTTGTTATTTCCATGGTAAACAATTTAACATAACAATTATAATTATTACTGATAATGTACACTAAGTCATATCAGAATTATGAGAGTTTCCCACAATTTTGGAACACATGTCAATGATATGTTTATACAAATACAGCCCAAAGAAAGTCAAACATCATTTCATATTTAACAATGCTTCCTGTATAATTTTTATACTAAATAAGCCAATTATATCATTTTTGGACTTTAGGGAAACTAATAACTTAAACGATTAATTAGGTCAGAAAAAGACATAATTTATAATTTGATTTTGGAAAATTTGTCAAATATCAAAGGTTTAAAACACTTGATATCATAAAATTGGATAACAGGTCATTGTAAAATAAGTCATTTAATCAAAGTGATATTTCAAGGTTTTCATAAAAAGGCAAAAACTCTCATTATTTGAGAGAAGACATTTAATTTTCCAAACAATAAACACTAATAAAAACAGGATAAAGCCAATTTGATTTGTTTTTCAAAATATTATGAAAAATCTATAAAATTTTTAACCTTGACCATAAGATATAACTTCCATAAGCCTTTTATAACCTTTATAGACTTTATTAAAGAGTTGATGAATGCTTCAAGAAAACCTTGTTACTCTGACACAAGGGCCAGTATGCTGGTCTTGCATCAGTGTGCCTTTGACATTATGGTGAATTTATAGAGAAACCATACTTACTTTATCTCTCAAAATCAGCCCTTGCAATCTCACACACCTGCATGCTTCATGAAAGTCCCTGGGTCTTGAGGAGTTGAATAGCTTTAATTTCTGTCTCTCGTGATTGCAGTTTATTTTGATTGGCATCTTCTACTGGGCCTGAGGATGAGGACTTTTTTTTTTTTTGAGACAGAGTCTCACCCTGTTTCCCAGGCTGAAGTGCAATGGCACGATCTCAGCTCACTGCAACCTCTGCCTCCCGGGTTCAAGTGATTCTCCTGCCTGAGCCTCCCGAGTATAACTGAGCCTCCCAAGTAGCAGGGATTACAGGCGCCTGCCACTATGCCTGGCTAATTTTTTGTATCTTTAGTAGAGACGGGGTTTCACCATGTTGGCCAGGCTGGGCCTGACCTGGTGATCCACCTGCCTCAGCCTCCCAAAGTGCTGGAATTACATGCATGAGCAACTGCACTTGGCCAAAGATGAGGACTTAATTTCTGTTAGTATTTAAGATTTAACAGGACTTGGGTGTCGTTTTTAGATTCCAGGAGTCAAAGCCCTGTAACACGATGTCACAGGGACTTTAAAAGCACATACAGAAAGACACATGGATGTAATAAACTTAATTAAAAAAATTTTTTTTAGTTTCAGTTATTTTTCTAAGCAAACCAAACTTAATAATAATGGCAACGTAATTATTTTGATAAAACATAACATTTTTTAGGCCATTTACCAAAAGTCAAAAGAAAAGATCTTCTGCAGTGCACAGAATATTTTGATGGAAAAAAAAACCATTTTCTTTAGGTCTTTAAGGAAACATTGTTAACATTAGGCCACAACAAACAGAGCCCAAGGGGAAGCAAAGTTTACATGAGCTGAAAATGAGTTGATGAAGAGTGTTACTATTTCATATTTTTTTCCCCAGTCATTCGGCTTTATTTCAGTGCTCATTTTTGGTTCCCTAAGAGCTGCATGAGTACTAGGCTTCACCATGTGACTGGGGGCTCCTTGGGAACTGGGTACCCCTGAAAAGAACTAAAGACAGGAATCATACTTCTCTTTAACTAAAGACAGGAATCATACCTCTGTGGAAGGCCCAGGCTGAGGATGAGGGAAGGAATAAGTCCCAATGCCCCCGGAGAGATAGGAGTGAGAAGCTTGGGTACAAACTCCCAGTGGCCCCTCAAGGCTGGCATCCCTGGATCTTGCTGGAGAGAGCAGTCTCCTGGGCCAGGGTTGTTCTAGCTTGTTTCTCACTGTACCTACTCAGGAGGCCTAACTGTGTTAACAGGCAGCCAGAACCTGCCTACTAAAATGCCTGTAACCTAGACTGCGCCTCAGATTGTGGCCCTGCCTCTAAAGAGAGCGCCGCAGCCTGGGAGCCACTTGGCCCTGAGAGTGAGCAGAGGCTCAAATACACAGCATGAGGCTTATAGTCCCTGTCCTCTTCCCACTACTGGAGACAATTTAACACTGGTGGGAAGGTAAGAGGGGCCAGCCCTCTATCCTGGCTATTTCACAATTTTTAAAGGGGGAGAGAAAACCAATGGTGAGATGCAATTAAAAGTTCAACTTTGGGTTAAAGAAAAAAATTATAATTTCCCTTTAAATTTAGAAAACCTGATCATATATAAGCTTTTATTAAAAAAGTTAATCCTCTTATTGTGACTTAACAACCTTTCACGACATGATTGGACTTACTGTTTTTTTCTGAACATCCCCCTTTCCTAAACAACCAGTCATTTCGTTTTAGGACTAAATTTACTGTACAAGGTTCTTTCTCATATAAAATTATTTCTCTTCAAGCTTTCTTACCAAAAAATACCTGTTTTTTCTATGACTTTCTTTACATCTTTCTTATTGCTTGGATTCTGTTACCTTGTTTTATTTTTATTTTTTTTTGTTGTCAAACTACTAACATCTTTATTTCATCAAGATATTTAACAATATTAAAAAGATCAGGTTTCTTCATGGTCACATCTTTTCCCAGCTTTTCAAAAATCTATTCAGTAGTAGAAACAGCCAAATGCTGCTACAATGCAGAATAAACTGTCAATACTCCTTCACCTCTTTGTTCTCCAGTCACCACTTGCACCACCATTTTGTATCGGTCAAACCCCATTTCTTTTAATTTATCTTTAATGTTTTCTGATAAATGTTTTGTGAGCTGCGGCGTCTCTTCCGGAGCATATTCAGCGCTTGCCAGTTCCTGCTTGAGCACAGCATGGATGCAGTCTTTAACCACAGAGGGCCTGAACCTCTGCTGGAAAACAGGCCGCAGAACATAGGTGTTCTCGGGCTCCGCGGAGTTCTCAGCCTCAGACACCACGTCGCCCACCGAGGACACCGCGGCAGGCGCGGCCATGGCCGGGCTTCTCGGTGCGGGCGCGGCTGGCGGCGAAGGCCTGGCGGGTGCGTTACCTTGTTTTATACATAAACTTTAAATAAGCTTTGAATTAGAAAAAATTTATTCACCATTTTTAAAAGGACATTTTTTGTTCGAAAAAATGTTTTTCTATAATATATTTTATTGGAAACTAGCCAAATAATAAAATATCTATTAAATTTAATATAACTTTAGATTCTAAATTATGACAAGTTTGTCTACAAGTATTTATCCCATTACATTTACATAATTATTTTATTTTAATCATTTACATAGATTATTTATGGAAAACACAATAATCATTATTTAAGGTTGTGAAACTACCATTGCAAAATTATAACTGAGACAGTGAAAACATCTGACTTAACTGACTCCATCTTGCTTTTAACCTTCCGGCTGTCCTTGTTCATTCCTGGGCATAGGCCAAATTAACTTTGGGAGGAACTTAGTTTATAGTTTATCTTTGAAACAAAGACGATAATAGTCCTTTCCCAAAACAAACCTCCTTATTGCCTGTGGACTAGACTGCCTAAAGCCACAAGATTTGAAGTTTTGGTAATTTTACCAAATAATTCAAGATGTAGCTATTTACATTAAATCAATATCTATACCTTATTTATTAAAAATTGCACAAGCAAAGATCATTCTATTTTGGACTGAGTTTACAGATTTGTAACCCCTATGCAAAATTGGGACAGCTTATAGTATTTGGCAGGGATAATGATAAAATCCCTTGATCAATAAATGCCAAAAAAAATGTATGCTGGCAGTTTTAAAGACATCCCTAATACTACTTTACCAAGAATTTTAAAGCTAGCTTCTTTATTAATGATTTTACTTAAGTAATCTTGAAAAAAAATTTGACTAGTCTTTCTTTTTCCTGATAAAGTATTTCACTGACGCATTTAAAAAATTTTTAAATTTATATATATGTATATATATATATATTTTATTATACTTTAAGTTCTGGGATGCATGTGCAGCTTCGTTACATAGGTATACATGTGCCATGGTGGTTTGCTGCACCTGTCAACCCATCGTCTAAATTAGGTATTTCTCCTAATGCTATCCTGCTCCTAGACTGCATCCCTTGAGAGGCCCTGGTGTGTGATGTTTCCCTCCCTGTTTCCCTGTGTTCTCGTTCAACTCCCACTTATGAGTGAGAACATGCAGTGTTTGGTTTTCTGTTCACGTGTTAGTTTGCTGAGAATTATGATTTCCAGCGTCATCCATGTCTCTGCAAAAGACATGAACTCATCCTTTTTTATGGCTGTATAGTATTCCATGATGTATATGTGTCACATTTTCTTTATCCAGGCTATCATCGATGGGCATTTGGGTTGGTTCCAAGTCTTTGCTATTGTAAACAGCCCCTTGCATTGGGTTAAAACATGCTCCTTTATCTTAGGGGAGTTTATTACCCACCTTCTGAAGCCTATGTCTGTCCGTTCATCAAACTCATTCTCAGTCCAGTTTTATTCCCTTGCTGGTGAGAAATTGTGATTCTTTGGAGGAGAAGAGGTGTTCTGGTTTTTGGAATTTTCAGCCTTTTTGCACTGGTTTTTCTTCATCTTTGTGGATTTATCTACCCTTGGTCTTTGATGTTGGTGACCTTCGGATTGGGGTTTTTGTGTGGATGTTCTTTTTGTTGATGTTGATGGTATTCTTTTCTGTTTGTTCGTTTTCCTTCTAACAGTCAGGCCCCTCTGCTGCAGGTCTGCTGGAGTTTGCTGGAAGTTCACTCCGGACCCTATTTGCCTGGGTATCACCAGTGAAGGCTGCAGAACAGCAAAGATTGCTGCCTGTTCCTTTCTCTGGAAGCTTCGGCCCAGAGGGGCACCTGCCAGATGCCAGCTAGAGCTCTCCTGTATAAGGTGTCTGTCGACCCCTGCTGGCAAGTGTCTCCCAGGCAGGAGGCATGGGGATCAGTGACCAACTTGAGGAGGCAATCTGTCCCTAAGCAGAGCCTGAGTGCTGTGCTGGGAGATATGCTCCTTTCTTCAGATCTAGCAGACAGGAACGTTTAAATCTGCTGAGTTGTGCCCACAGCCATCCCTTCCCCCAGGTGCTCTGTCCCAGGGAGATTGGAGTTTTATCTATAAGCTCCTGACTGGGGCTGCTGCCTTTCTTTTAGAGATGCCCATCCCAGAGAGGCGGAATCTAGTGAGGCAGTGGCTACAGTGGCTTTGCAGCACCATGGCAGGCCCTGCCCAGTTCAAACTTCCCTGTGGCTTTGTTTACACGGTGACTGGAAAACCTCCTACTCAAGCCTCAGTAATGGCGTACGCCCCTCCCCCTACCAAGCTCGAGCTTCCAAGGTCGACTTCAGACTGCTGTGCTGGCAGTGAGAATTTTAAGCCAGTGGATCTTAGCTTTCTGGGCTCCATGGTGGTCGGATCTGCTGAGCTAGACCACTTGTCTCCCTGGCTTCATCTCCCTTTCCAGGGGAGTGAATGGTTCTGTCTTGCTGGCATTCCAGGCACCACTGGGGTATGAAAAACAACTCCTGCAGCTAGCTTGCTGTCTGCCCAAATGGCTGCCCAGTTTTGTGTTTGAAACCCAGGGCATTGGTAGTATAGGCATGTGAGGAAATCTACTGGTCTGTGGGTTGCGAAGGCCGTGGGAAAAGTGTACTATCTGGGCTGGAACACACCGTCCCTCACTGCAGGGTGCCTTGTGGCTTTCCTTGGTTGGAGGAGGGAGTTTCCAGACCCCTTTAACTTCCCAGATGAGGCAATACCCCACTCTGCTTCAGCTCGCCCTCTGTGAGCTGCGTCTACTGTCTAACCAGTCCCAATGAGGTGAGCCGGCTATCTCAGTTGGAAATGCAGAAATACCCAACTTCTGCATTGATCTCACTGGGAGCTGCAGACTGGAGCTGTTCTTATTTGGCTATCTTGCCAGCCTGCTGCAAAATAAATTTTCTAAATTGACTGAGACCTGTCTCAGATATTTTGGGCTCAGAGGTTTCAGAAAATTATATATAATTCATCTCAAGTATGGATGCTGTCATACGACGACAAGGGGAAGTTTAACTCAATTGACCAAAAACAAGCAACAAAACCAGAAAAGACAAAATTCAAATTACCAAAAGAAGAAATAAACACTATCAACCTGACAGAAATAAAAAGGATTACAAAAGAATAGTGTGAGCAAACCTGTTTCAACAAACTAGATAACTTGGATGAAATGAACAAATCCCTGGAAAGGCACGAACTACCAAAATGGAAACAAGAAAAAATAGAAAATTTGAAGAGACCTCCAGCAAGTAAACAGGTTGTATCAGAAACTAGAGAAAACCTCCCAAAAAGAAAATTCCAGAATCAGATGTTTTCACTGCTTAGTTCAACTAAGCATCTAAAAAAGAATTGGTACCAATTATATGCAACTCTTTCAAAAACATGGGAGGTGCTAACACTTAATTCCTTCTATGGGGCCAGTATTAATCAGATACCAAAACTGGACAGAGCCATGGTAAGAAAAGTAAGCTTCAGCCTAGTAGCCCTGAAAAATATTGACATAACAATCCTTGACAAAATACTAAATCAAACCAAATCCAGCAACATATAAAAGGGATTATGTACAATGACCAAGTGAGATTTGTCACAGGAATGCAAGGTTAGTTTACTATATTGAAACCAGAGCATTCCCTGACCCCCTTGTGGACATGTGACAGAAGCGTGGCTTGTCTGCTCAATTGCCACTGATGTTCAAACCCCTTACAGGAGGGCAGATGGACAGGTACAGGAGCCCAGGTGAACGTATGTAACAGTATGCTCTTTTAGTCTTGTGGTCCATGGACTGCTTAAGTGTCAACCAGCTCTGAGGACCCTCTGCCTTCCTGCAAGGGTAGAGGGCCAGTGTGACAGCTTTCTGCATCCCAAACTCTTGTCCAGCATCCTGGAAGATTTGGGTCACACACTGACTTTAAGAGTGAATGCAGGGGTTTTATTGAGTGTGGAAGGTGGCTCTCAGTGGGATAGGTGGGGAGCTGCACAGGGGTTGGAGTTAGGAAGTTGATCTTCCCCTGGAGTTTGGCTGTCTGGTGGCCCATTTTCTGACCTGCCCCAGTGAACTCCTCCCAATGTTCAGATGCTTCTTCTTTTCTCTCCTTCTCTGCCATTCATCTGCTCATCTCTTCATCTGTTTCTGGAGACTGGGGTTTGCGGTTTCTATGGGTAGAGGATGGGGGCATGATGGGCCAAAGGGCAACTTTTTAGGTGCAAAAACAGGAATGCCTGTTCTCACTTAGGGCCACAGGTATCCAGGTCTGAGGGTGGGGCCACTGCTGGGGAGCTGCCTCTTGTACTCAGTATTTCCCTGTCTCCTGTCTGTATCAACATGAAAATTAGTCAATATAATATATCATATAAATAGAATGAAGGACAAAAACCACATGAGCATCTCAATAGATACAGAAAAAAGCAGATAAACTTAGCACGATTTCATAATAAAAACACACCCCAAACCAGGAATAGAAGGAATTTATTCCAATTAAGGCCATCTATGAAAAACCGACAGGTGCCATCATACCTAATGGTGAAAGACAGTGCATTCTCCCCATCTCAAGATCAGGAATAAGATAAAGACGTCTGCTTCCACCACTTATACTCATTGTTGTATTACAGGTGCCAGGCAGGGCAATTAGGCAAGACACAGAATGAACAGTCATCCAGAATGGAAAGAGGAAAGTGAAACTATCACTATTTCTAAATGACTTGATCTTGTATATAGAAAACTCTAAGGAATCGCTAAAAATCTGCTAGAACTGATATATGAGTTCAGCAACTATAATCAGAGTTTTGTTTTTTAGATTGAGTCTTGCTCTGTCGCCAGGCTGTAGTGCAGTGATGCAATCTTGGCTCACTGCAAACTCCACCTCTTGGGTTCAAGTGATTCTCTGCCTCAGCCTCCTGAGTAGCTGGGATTATAGGTGTGCACCAGCCAATTTTTGTATTTTTGGTAGAGACAGTTTCACCGTCTTGACCAGGCTGGTCTTGAACTCCTGACCTTGTGATCCACCCACATTGG